TTTCAAGTATTTTCATTAAAATCATTTTGAATTAATGCAGTTACTGATACAATCGAAGTTATCCGAGGACATGAAGGGCTAAAACAGGCAACATGAAGACCCACTTCAGACCACAATTATTTTGGAGTTTCTGAAATCCAATTTGCCAGTGTGCTACCAGGGATGTAAAAGAAGATACATTTATAAAGCAATTGTTAAGTTTGATGAAAATTGGTTAAAAGATCAACGACAAATAAAAAAAAGAACAGTAAAATTCGACACTTTTCGCTATTTACGTGGGTTTTCACTATATGGGTGGACACAAATTAAAATGACTGTTAAACAATCAACTTATTGTTGGCTACAATTGAGTGAAGTTTGTATTTGCTTGAGACTAGAGAGATTTTTTAGTTTTAAATTTGTTGAAATCGATTTTTCGTTTTTCGCGGTTTTTCGTTAAACGCAGTGGCGTAGAAATAAAAATGATGTATCGTTGAGCTCGTCATGATGTAAGTAACCTACATACCTAGTTTGAAAGAAATCTGAGAAAAAGGTTGAATTTATCGATTTTGATCGGGTTTATCAATTAGAACCTATTTCATACATTGTACAATCTATGTGCCAAGTTTGGTTAAAATCGGTTGTATGGATCTCGAATTAAAAGGTATCACACAGACAGAGATACATTCTCTGTTTTATATTTATAGATACAGATGTTAAATTTTTAATTTTAAATAAGTCTTTTCAATAAAATCGCCTTCAACCACGAGGTTCGGATCAAGGAGTTCTCAATTATAGTAAGCACTCCGTACATGTATATTGTGGAACTGTTAGTTGGTCTCCTTCTCGATGATGCATCAGAAGAGATTAAATTCAGGAGAGCTAAAAGGCTGAATGTTGAAGGTAACATGATGATGAAAGCCACTCCTAAGTCACATGGGCCAGGCAGGAAGGTGCAGAATCTTGCTGGAATCATGGGCGCCCGTCTCGACGATCTAACACCTTGAGGTAGTAACACTGACATTGACATTCTACGGGAAGTGACATGGTATGGCACTTGTTCCATACGACCCCCAGGACTATCGCAGATGACGTGAACTGGATACACATCATCGTGGGTACATATGTTGTTTTTTCCTGTTCACCTGACCCCTTTCAAGAAGCTTGCTATCTCCAAGTCTCTGTGCTTGACGGCTAGTGACACGAACATGGCGTGCCTATATATTTCTCGTGTGAGAGTAGAAACTGCCATGACAATGCTTCTCGGTTCGAATGAAAGAGAAATGGGAGTGTTAACATTTGCCGCATACCACGTAACATTACGTTTGGTCGTCATCCATTTATTGCCCGCTAAAGATGTGTTCTCAAATACTTGACATATCTTGTATATACGAGGCAATGTTGAAAAACTAGGTCCGACCTGATTCCTAAAAACAAGACGGGAACTTTTCAGCACGCAGTTCGGGTTGTTGTTGTTTCTCTAGTAAGATTTCCTAGGGTGATTTTCAAGACATACTTGTAAGATTGCCGCTACACAATTTTCCTATTCCCTATTTTTCTTATGCAGCCTTGTTAGACGAAGTGAAATTTATCTTCTCCATATATTTCGCTCTCATTCTCTCTCATACACTCTCTGTCTCCCCCCACACACACACACACACACACACACATCGAGCACTATTTTATTAACATCAGCAGTATATATATATATATATATATATATATATATATATATATATAAAGTGAACATTGACGGCAATACTCAGAGGCGACAAACTGTTTCCTGTTAAACGCAGTCATCGGGGCACACACACACACACACACACACACATATATATATATATATATATAAATATAAAAGTGAATATATATGCAACGTCAGGCCTGACGTTTGCATATAGCATGAAACAGACTGTCGCCTCTAAGTGTTGACTTCTATGTTCACTTTTATATTTACACACGCTCTATCTCTGATATTGAGCACTTTATTCCATAAATATAGCTCACCTTAAGACTATATTTCTTTATATATATATATATATATATATATATATATATATATATATATATATATATATATGTCATGATAACTGCGTTTAGCATGAAACAGTCTGTCGCCTCTGAGTGTTGCCTTCAATGTTCACTTTTATATTTATATTTACACACGCTCTCAGATATTGATAATTTTATCCCATAAATATAGCATACCTTAAAACTACGCTAACTAAATTTTAAAGGTGCATTAACCTACAAATTACTCGATGAATGTTATGATCCTTGTTTTCTAAAATTTTTTAAAAATAAACTGTATTAGGTCTTCCTTAAATACGCAAGTACATTTGACGGTTCGTCCAGTCATCATCAGGCATGGAAATTATTTTGTTCTTGGTAAAATTCAGGTAGCATCCGAATCGAAAGAAATATAATGCGAATCGATTTTTTTAAAATGTCTTATTGATAACGGATACAAACTTGTGGAGAATGCAGTCGCAACGCTAAGGTTGATTTTTTTTTTTTTTTTGAAAATTTTAGTGAGTGCGTTTTTTTTTTTTTACTAATATGGCAATTTAAAAAAATTTGTTGTTGTTGTGGGAGTTTATCTGTCAACGTGGCATGAACTAAATAGTTCAATAAATAGAGTAATGTCTCATTTGTTATCCCGAAATTCTGCACGTCGGATCAGTTCTTTTAAATGAAACATGTGGTGCAATAAAATATATTGAAAGATGGACATTTGAGGTCCACGAAATAAATTATAACCTGACCTGATGGATTCTGTATTCACTATCATATATATATATATTATTTTTTTATAGATACAAATATTTAATTAAATGCTCAGTTTATAATAAACAGTATTTACCGGCCTGAATGTCCGAGAAATTGTCATAGAAAATATGCGTCCTCAGACAGGAATCGAACCTGCATCCTATACTGAACCGTCATATAGCCTGACGTGCTTTTACCGATTTCGCCACAGAGGAGCTTTCGGTTAGCAACGTCGATTTTACTGTTTTTAAACTACAATCTTCCATGACTCTCTACATTCATATATATATATATATATATATATATATATATATATATATATATATATATATATATATATATATACGCACGCATATAGATAGATAGATAGATAGATAGATAGATATGAACAGACTGATAGATAGATAGATAGATAGATAGATAGATAGATAGATAGATATGCGTGCGTGTATGTGCCTGCGTGTGTGGGATTTAATATTTTTTTAAATAGTTAATATTGTTTTTTAATTAAATAAATAATACTTAATTAATTAATAATAATCACAATGGAATTCTTTTGAATTCCCAACATGCAAATTGGAAGTTTTCGAAAAGCATCCATGGACTTAGTTTCCATTGGGGAGTTGAATAAGAATTGTTGAATAAAACCGTGGTTTTCCACTTTAAATCTGATTGTACTACTGTGCATAACCCGTGAGTGTGTGTGTGTGTGTGTGTGTGTGTGTGTGTGTGTGTGTGTGTGTGTGTGTGTGTGTGTGTGTGTGTGTGTGTGTGTGTGTGTGTGTGTGAAGAAACTAAGAGAAAGAGAGAAAAGAAAGAGAGAGAGAGAGAGGGGGAGTGATGGCGATATTCCAAAACCCACAAGAATCGCCGCTTGTAAAGATAAAATCTTTGATCCCAGTCGTTACTGAAAATTCCAGTGAAGGTTTTTAAACTGACACCAAATATGATTAGCCTTTAAGTGTCTTTCTTTATTTGTTGCGTTCTCTTTTACACCCTCCAGCAATTCCCCACCTTACAAACAATTCCCCCCACCCGCTCTACACAAATATACACCACTCAAAAAGTATTTATTTACATTTCTTCTCCTTGAAACACGCAATTACAGTCTTTCTTACAAATACGAGCTTTTCTAATATACTTTCAAATAGAAGTGTGTGCATATGTATGTATTATATAACGGTTGGTGTGTTTTTGCGATTGGAAGTGTGTGTGTTGAAGTGTGTGCTAGGAACGCTTTCCTGGTTTTTCTTTAAACATCTGCATAGCTTACGACACAAAATCTCATGTGTGGGAAATCCAGTAGAGATCGAACGCATAGTCTCTACGGTTAGGGGTCGCATAGATCTTTTTCAGTAGTGGTTTTAACGATTGTTGTATATCTAGTTACACGCACACACACACACACACATAGACACACATACACACACAAAACACACACACACACATAGACACACATACACACACAAAACACACATACACACACAAAACACACACACACACAAACGTACACAATCTAGAAGGGATTCTCTACCAAATTCCTGTAATGGTCATTTCGTCACATTTTAGGGAAATGGGAGAAGCCGAGAAGTTTTCAGCGCCGTCTCTCTCTCTCTCTCTCTCTCTCTCTCTCTCACACACACACACACTCACACACACATACACACACACACACACACAAAACACACACACAAACGTACACAATCTAGAAGGGATTCTCTACCAAATTCCTATAATGCTCATTTTGTCATTTTAGGGAAATGGGAGAAGCCGAGAAATTTTCAGCGCCGTCTCTCTCTCTCTCTCTCTCTCTCTCTCACACACACACACACACACACACACACACACACACACAAAACACACACACAAACGTACACAATCTAGAAGGGATTCTCTACCAAATTCCTATAATGCTCATTTCGTCACATTTTAGGGAAATGGGAGAAGCCGAGAAATTTTCAGCGCCGTCTCTCTCTCTCTCTCTCTCACACACACACACACACACACACACACACATAGACACACTCTCTTTTTCTTTCTTTTTCTCACACATATATGCACACACATATACATATGTGTATATGTATGTAGAGAGAGAGTGAGAGAGAGAGATAGAGAGAGAGTGGAGAGAAAGAGAAAGATAAATGGAAATAGTTAGAGAGCGAAAGAGAGATTTTGTTCGCGTTATGAATATATTCCTATCTTTTTCTGGTACCGTTGCCTTCCCTGCTGTGTAGGAAGTCATCAATGATATGCGCATAGCACTCCCCACACCCGTGACGTTGCCCACCCCTTATCCACTTCATATACACAGCTCAGCGCATCCGTAAGAAGCGAACTCATTATCTAGCGGGTTTAATGTGACATTTGTGTTGTGTAATCAAAAGGAACAGATGAAATTTATGAACACTTCGCCCTTTCCATCGAGACACAAGGACGTACGCAACAGACGCGCTCAAAAGTTCCCCCCCCCTCATCTCTTTTTGTCATAGTCAAACAAAATAACGAGGCCAGCATTAATGGCGACAAGCAAATACACACGAAACAAATAAAAAGCTTACATCTGCCTCTTCACACACGCACCGAACAAAAACAGAAAATATGCCTAAACGCACCACTTGTTTCACGTTTTCATCTATATATAATCAAAATAAAAGAAATAAATGTTTACATTTTTTTTATTTGCTTAATCCTGTTAAGTCTGGTACAAGACCATGTTTTTTTGAGGTGAAAAGCGCCTTTGTCAACTGCTGGATATATTTCTTATTGCTAAAGTATAAACGTGAGTACACGTGTTCGTGTCCCCATCCTTATTTCGATTAAACAGTGAAATTGATAACAACCAGTCTAAATTGAGGAATCCTCCTAAAGAAAAAAAAATTGTGTCTTTGGCACGAATCGAACCTGCATGCTATTTTTTTGTTGGGAAAACATTTAGGCAAAGTGCGCATCTGCCAATTTGGCAACAAAGCCTGCATGTCAGGGCAAAGTTTAAATAAACATATTAACAAAAAGCGTTTTTTCTCACTGGGCCTTCTATGAGGCAAAAATCGTAATAAGAAATAAGGTCATATAAAAATCTTTTCACACACACGTGTGTGTGTGTGTGTGTGAAATATGTGGTGCAGTTCAATTTATATTACAATGTATCATTCATACAAAAAAGTAAATTAGTAAAGTTAATGATATGGATTGGCGAAATCTCTTCGAGTGATTGGTAGGTCAATGCATCTTTAAAATTTTGTTAGCGAAGGGATTTCGCCATTTTATATCATTGACTTTACTAATCTACTTTTTTGTATGAATGATTCATTGTAATATATATATATATATATATATATATATATATATATATATATATATATATATATATATATAATAGCAAAGAGTGAGTGCTGGTGATAATAACACAGTACTAATATCCAAAATGAGGCTTACACAAGAGCCTTTTTTTAATAAATTTTAATTTCAAGTAACTACAGATTTCACTTTTGTTTATCATCGCTTGCCTTGATAAAGTCAAATGACGCATTGGCAAAGATTAAGTACTATTTTCTGATTGTCATATATATACATATATATATATATGTGTGTGTGTGTGTGTGTGTGTGTGTGTGTAAGCCAGTTCACCCTGATGATCCCATGTGGTGAAACCTAAGTAGGTACTACCTGGCTGATTAGGAATTATTATACCTTGCTCGACATAGCATATTGAGCAATCATCGTTTTAACTAATTACTCACTGTTTTTTTTTTTGTTTCCTTGCACCAGAAATTTAAGGCACAGAATTTTTCGCCCTCTTCAGAGGTTTCTGGTTCTCCTTTTTTTTTATTCAAAATTTTTTTCTCGGATGCGAATTTGTTTGAAAATTGTGCTATCCAGGTTTTTTCACCCACCGAGTTTAAATAGATTTACATTATATATATATATTATATATATATATATATATATATATATATATATATATATATATATATATATATATATATATACACACACACAGACACACACACACACACACATATATATATATATATATATATATATATATATATATATATATATGAACATTGAAGTCAACACTCAAAGGCGACAGGCTGTTTCATGCTAGACACAATCGTCAGGCGGCCTGATGATTGCGTTTAGCATGAAACAGCCAGTCGCCTCTGAGTGCTGATTTCAATGTTCATCTTTATATTTACATATACTCTATCTCTTATATTGAGCACTTTATCCCATAAATATAGCACACCTTAAAACTATATTTCTTCATATATATATATATATATATATATATATATATATACATACACACACACACACACACACATATATATATATATATATATATATATATATATATATATATATATATATATATATATATATATGTATTACTTTGAAAGACCGAATAACGTTAAAGTTTTATTAAGTATTTTTATGAAATTTTTTTTTATTATTACTTACAAAGTGACTTTGCTTTTCTTCTGAGCAAACTGCTTTTCTCAATCATTGCGAAACAAAAGATTAAGTAGTCAAAATGAATCAATATTAGATTTTACTGATCAGTTTAAAAAAATAGATTTAAAAAGATTTTTTTCTTAAAAGTTTCCAAAAAATATTTGCATAAATGTTGTTGGAAAACCTGAAAGAACATGGAAAGCTTTGATTAAAATTAGTTATTTTATTTTACATTTGTAAGTATTGTTAGGTACATATGATTGTATTTGATAACGTTCGAGAGCCGAAATTTTATTTGATAACCGAGGCATTTTCATTTCGAATATTCTGTTCGAAAACCGATTTTGTCGACATGTGAAACGTTCGAGAACCGAGGTTGCTCTGTATTTAATAAGCAAAACATTTTGCTGCAATTCAACCTGAATTTAAATTGATTACAAAATTTTTTTATTCGTATTAAAAGCGCTTAAATCGCCCGTAATGACAAATCTGTTAACAGAACGTAATTCTCTTTATTAAAAATACTTTAAAACATAAAATATACTTCCTGAAGATTTGAAGAAGATTAGCTGATTTAAAATTGAATTAATCTGCTTTGGGACAAATATTACTTAATTTTAGTTTAAAATATCACAGAAAAGCATTTTTTAACTCGGAGATTTCTCGCTAGACTTACGTTTCGGAATTTTTTCTATGGGGGACATAATTGTAAGTGTTACTTGACGAATATAATGTGGACGTCTTAATTTCATATATATTTTTCAACTAGACAGTAATTTTTAAAAATTAAGAAAATATTCTAAGCAATTTAATATTTTACTAAATTTTATGTACTTTGGCTTTATAGTTTAACTTACGGAAACGCTTATTAATAAAAATACCAATAAATTATGATTTTACTATAGTTACCGCTCTTAATCTCGCTTTTGGACATCCGTATTTACAAAAACGGAAACCTTTATACACACACAATAAATTTAAAATGCTTTTTAAAATGTTGTGGATCGTTTAATTGTAGTTAGCTTTTCCATTTATTATTAGTAAATAAAATTTTAATTTAAAAATAACATTTGAGCGCTACAAATTAATACAGAATTTTAAAATAGCTAAAAGTTTATTAATTATTCTAAATAAAATTTTAAATAAATGAAAACAGTACTGGTAAAAATTAAGTACTGATTGAATTTTTTTCTTAAATGTCCATAATACATTTTATACATAAAAACAATTAAAAGCTTTTCTAGTTATAAAATGTCTTAGTTTTATGGTATTTTTTATTTTACCATTCATAGCAGATTTTATGTAACTGTCAGATAAAACAAAATTCATGATTTAAACTCTCCAAGGACGTGTTCTTATAAGTAGTATAAACATTAAATGCTACAAAAGAAATTTTAAAACCTTTCATAAAATTAAATACGTGGGGGTTAACAGGTGTAAAAAAATATTTTTACGAAGATTTTCTAAAAGTGAAACATTTTAAAAATAATTCCATTCATTTGTAAATAAATCCTGAAATTTTCATTAAAATTCAAAAATTATCTGATTTTTGCAAAGAATTTCCAAATCAGTGTGTTTGCAAAAAGAATCTGAAAATTCCCATACTAATTTAACCAAATTTCAAAGGTTCTAAAAATGGTTAAAAATATTTTTTACATCATAAAATCCTTTGATCTTTCCTCTTGGAAATAACGGATATGAAGATTTTATCGATAAAACTTTGCTTTTATTAAGTTTGGGGTATTTTTTCATCATATATACTCAGTTTTTATCGAATATTTAGAGGTACTACATATAATTGGTCCGATTTTGAACTTATTGATAACTATATATAAAACAGATATTTTATATATCATGTTTAATCCGCTTGATTCATATAGAAATTGACAGAATTCAACTTTTTAAAAAATCTCTTATCATGTCTCGAGGAAAGCAACGTTTTCTCTGCGTGTCTGTCTATGTGTGTGTGTATGTGTTTCTTTCTGTATGTTTTCTAGCATGCATTTTGTACTAGAACCTGAAAACTTATTGGCATTGAAAATCTAAACAGTTTTGCAAACGACTGATTTATTTCATTATTCCAAAGTCGATCTGTGTTGAGTGTCTTTCTTGCAACATAAACAAGAACTACATATTTTAAATGTTCATTAAATACTGGTGCAGTTTTCAGCAAAATAGTGACCTTCGGTTTCCAGCAAAATGGTGGCCTTCGGTTTCCAGCAAAATGGTGACCTTCAGTTTTCAACGTTTCAGTCGAGAAGATCTCTTTTGTTTAGAAGAAATAGTGAAGGCGGTGTAAAGCGATTTTGTTTTACAGCTCAATAGGTCATTTTCTTATCTTGTCCAATCGCGAGAAAATTAGCTCTAACAGGAATTGCTTAACGAAATATTTTTGAAAAAGGTGAGCGCTATTTCTATAAATTTTATGTAAGATTATCCTTTGTACGTATTGAATTACGTTTTTTACAAGCATCAGAATGTTTGCTGAGATTAAGTAAAGAGAAAGAAAGAGAGAGAAAGCTACTATTATTTCTTAAATGTCTGCGTTTGTCTACAAGCCAAAAACTCACGAACTACATTTTTACTTTGAAATATTTTTCTTAAACATTTATGTATATATATATTTATATGTAAACCAATACAATATGCGTGAGTGTTTGTGCATGTGAATGTTTATGTGTGTGCGTTTTGGTTTGCGTGTGCATGTTTTATGAATTAAGAAATGTTTATACTATTATATTATTTTGCCAACTGAAAACGTAATGAATTGGAAGCACCATTTCATGGAAATTTATTAATGATGAACTGAAGAAAATACCTTTAGAAAATTATGGAACCGATCGAAAATAACAACGGGGAAATGATTCATAATTTGTCAACACAAACTGAATATTAGATAAGGTATAATTGAAAAACAGATGAAATAAAACTGTTTAGAATCTGTAAATATCTGTTTATTGACGTATAAGTCCGTCTGTTCAGCTCATCTCTTGATATGAATGTATTTATGAAAACGACAAATCTAAGTTGGTTATGTATTTAATATTTATGTAAGAGCCTGTATATGCACACATATTTAGATACATACATACAGATACACACACACACACTCTCTCTCTCTCTGTTTCTCTCTCTCCCTGTGTCTATTTCTCTTTCTTTCTTTCTTTCTTTCTTTCTTTCTTTCTTTCTTTCTTTCTTTCTCGTTCTCTGTCTATCTGCCTGTTTCTCTTTCTTTCTTTCTTTCTTTCTCGCCGTCTCTCTTTCTTTCTTTCTTTCTTTCTTTCTTTCTTTGTCTACATGTATGTTTCTCTCTCTTTCTTTCTCTATCTGTCTGTTTCGCTTTCTTTCTCTCTCTCTCTCTTTCTTTCTTTGTCTATCTCTCTCTCTTTCTTCCCATCTCTCTCTCTCTCTCTCTCTCTCTCTCTCTCTCTCTCTCTCTCTCTCAGGTACACTTTTAGGTTTTTGTATTTCTCATTCATGTTGTTAAAATTGTTATTTTTCACTTTCGGCAAATTTTTTTTTTAAAAAGTTAAATTTTCAATAATAAATGATCCCCAGAACCTACGAGGAGTGTTGAAAAGTTCTCAGACCCAACAAGAAGGGCTTCCAAAATAAATTATTCGGTCATTTGGTTAGATTTTGAAAAAGTTTCGACCCAAAAGGTTTACAGAACCTCCATATTAGGTACATGCAAAAGTTTCTATATTTTTTAAATTTCAAAATGTGTATTATTTTTTAAGAAGTGTTCACTAAGAAGTTGGGCGCGAATCTGTTAAAAGGATTTCGACCTCTACCCAATAATGATTTTCTAAGCGCAGCTTAGATGTGGCACAAGGCCGAAAGTATGGGGTACCCAGTAAGGATCGAATTCACTATTCACTGATTTAACGAGATAAGCTTGCTAACCATTACGCCACGCCGAAGTGCCCCCCACGTAATTCCCAATAGTGATTTTCCAAGCGTAGCTTAGGTGTGGCACAAGGCCGAAAGTATGGGGCGCCCAGTGAGAATCGAACTCACTCGTAATTGTTCTAGCGAGACAAGCTTGCTAACCATTACACTGCCCCAAGCTGCCCAAATGATTTTCTAAGCGTAGCTTAGATGTAGTACAAAGCCGAAAGTAGGGGGCACCCAGTGAGGATCTAACTCACTACTCAGTCGTAATTGTTCTAGCGAGACAAGCTTGTTAACCATTACACCACGCTGAGGTGTTCCCACCCACTTCCTAATATATTTGTATTCTTACGCTTGATTATTGAAATACTTTCGAAAATGGGACGGACCGAGGACTTTTCAACACCACCTCATATGTGTTGTGCGTGTATGTGGTGTGTCTGCGTGTGCGTATGTGGTGTGTCTGCGTGTGCGTATGTGGTGTGTCTGCGTGTGCGTATGTGGTGTGTCTGCGTGTGCGTATGTGGTGTATCTGTGTGTATGTGCGTGTGAATTTAGATGGATAAAGTTAAACAAAGAGATTAAAAGAAAAAAACAGTCTGAATGTCTAGTGAAAGTTACTTGAGATTTTGATAAGACAACCATTTTATTCTTTTTCAGCAGGTACCACATCTACCCTTACCCTAACCCTCATTCTACCCCCCACCCCTCCCCTAACCCTTCGTAAAGATTTTCGTATTTCTGAACACGCATATTTTAGAACTATGTATTTACATTTGAACTTATATTCATGTATTGGCGCGTTTGTGAGTTAACACACATGTTTAGCCCGACACATACAGAAGCACACATGTGTGTGGGTATGTGCGTGTGTGTTTTGTGTGTGTTCCTACATCTAGACTTCCATCTCTTCTTTATAATCTCTTATCTTGTGAGTCAGAGGCGTGAAATCTTTAATATCGGCGTCCACGGTCGTTGTTTTAATCTACCCTGCCCCACCTTAATTTACCTCCTCCGCCACCCCCCACCTCTCTCGAAATTTTTAAGCATCCACAGCCGCCATTCGTTTTTATCCCTCTCCGTTTTTTTTTCTTTTATAAACTGCAAATAATTACACTTCATGTTTCGCCCTCTATCCTTTTTCGTCGTCGTCGTCGTTTCGAATAACATGTGCGGCCATTTCGACAAGACGCGTTCAACAATAATCTCACGTTTTCATACCAAAGCCATTTTTTTTTACTGCCGAATGAAGGAATTTAGATTTGCTTTTGTTATATTTCCTCAAGCTAAGCATAATACAGCCAAAAATGAAAACAGGTGGGAAGAATATGTTTCGCCAATAGCAACGTCAATTCTTTTTTCCAGGGCGCAAACCCTGACCATTAACAGCAGTTGGAAAGACGTAACTACCTCAGTCACCAAGCCTGCTGCTGTTGCTGTTGTTCTTCTTCTTCTTCTAATTATTATTATTATTATTATTATTATTATTATTATTTCCTTTGATTTCTGGCGTTTAGACATTTCTTTCCGGGTCCCTCCCAGGGGCCTAAGGTTAGAAATGGCATCATGACACTTTCCACTGAAAAAACAAAACAAAAAAAAATTACGTAGATAAAGCTCTTCGTAAAGTGTGAGGTGTACTTGTCAGAACAATTTTTTGTATCTCTTTGAGGCATGGACTTCCAGGAATCCCTTCAATTAGTCTACTGGAATCTTTTCCAACTAACTACAACGGGGATTGTTGACGTTCCCATGTGCCACATTTTTGAGATTTCTATTTCAAGATCCTTGTATTTTGACAGCTTTTTGAATATCTTCAAAGATACATTGCAGTCTGCAGGGACTGCCATATCAATAAGGAGGCACTATTATTATTATTATTATTTTAGGAATTTAAATAAAATCTTCATTTACATTATCATCACAATTCTTATATTTTTGGATAATTTTCCCGTCTACCTACGGAATAAATATAAATTTCGAAAATATAAAGTACAGAATTAGCCTTATCTTATGATATTCTCCTTAGACACCCAGTACATGGGAAAAGTTGAGGAAAGTCCAATATTTCAATGTCACTTTAAAAATAGGAAATAACTGGTGGAGGTCGTTATCTTTCTTTAAAATGACCGTTATTGCACATAGATACGAATTCCAATATTTTAAACTGGATTAAGGTTAGAAGTGAAGATGTCGATTGACATTATATTTGAATAGTTGAAGATTATAGCTATCAGGGAAACAGGAAGAGAGGAGGGAGTTCCACAGGCGAGAGGTGCGAGTCATGAAGCTATTGGAGTAGAAGAGACGGCTACATTTAACAATATATATTAACAGAGTTATGACAAATTATATAACAGTAGGTACCTCCACAGATTCGCTAAAAATAGACATACATGAAGAATAACGTTCCAAACTTAAAAACAAATCTTTATGCTATTCTTCAGAGGAAAGAGCAAAGTATTTTTGAAATATTAAATTATATTTTTCATCCTTTTTAGAATTTTTTAAATTTTAGTTAAAAAAAAAACTCTTGTGTCAACTCGGGATCAAAGATTAGTATAGGAAATTTTAATTTTTTTTCGGTGAAAAATATTCATTTGGAAATTCTGGCAAATAATTGACGTATTTAAATGAAACATTCAGAACTTATTCACAACTTAATTAAATTATCTTAGAAATGTTTTTTAGAAAATATTTGTAAAAATATTTTTTTTTTACATCTGTTACCCTCCACTTATTTAATTTTATGGAATTTCGAAAAATTAAATTTTGTTTCAATTAATGTTTCTATTTGTTTAAAAGCAAAACACCTTGAAGAATTTAAATGATCAATTTATTTGTGTAAAACAGGACACCAAGTTACCGTAAATCTGAATCGTAAAATAAATACTGCAATAAAACTACGACATTAGAAAAGTTTTATAAATAAGATATATTATAGACACTATTATCTTAAAAAATGTTCGATGAATAATGAATTTTTACCTGAATTGTTTTCATTTTTTAAAGTTTTTAATCTTTTCAAATTCTGTATTAATTTGTACCGGTTGGATGATATATTTATTAAGTAAAAGCTATATTTACTAATCATAAATAGAAAAGCTTACTACAATTCAGCTACCACCAGTATTTTAAAAATAATTTTGAATTTGTGTGTACTTGTGTGTATATAAACGTGCAAATTTTTGTAAATACGGACGTCCATACACGACATTATCAGAAAATAAAGGCGGTAACTGTATTAAATTTAAACCCAAAGCACCTAAAATTCAATAAAACATTAGGTTACGGAGAATATTTTCCTAAATTTTTAAGATTACTATGTAATTAAAAATTATTTAAATAGACTCTCACATTATATTCCTCGCGTAATTTTTACAGATAAGTCCAACGTAGAAACATAGATGACCCTCCGGATGTCAAACGAGATGTCAACACCTTAAATAAACACCTTTCACCGTGTTAAAAATGCATTTCTGTGATATTTTATATTAAAAGTAAGTAATATTTGTTTCAAATCAGATTAAACTTTAAATCAGCTAATATTCCTCAAATAAACTTTCAGAAAAATATATTTTATTTTTGAGAGATTTTTATAATAAAGATAATTATATATATAATATATATAAATCAGCGACTTTTAACTATTTAAAAAAAAAACTCCTTCCAGTCAATATAAATTAGTTTTGAAATATAGAAAAGTATTTTTTATTGGAAATATTAAATTTAATCTATTAGCTTGAAATTAAAACTAAAATAAAACCCTCAAGAAAGATTTTACATTTCTTAAAATTCATTTTAAACTTTAGGTATCGCATTTCTTTGACGGTGTTTCTATAACAGGCTTATAAAAAATTATTATATCAATAAAACAGAAATTCAATCAGAACATTTTCAAAAATATTTTTGCACAAATTCTACTTCAAGGAATATAAAAAGATTATTCAATAAAAATGCCCCAGCTTCGAAGACAACAACCTCAACGCGGCCAAGAAAGCGGCTGAATACCCAAATCCTAATTCTCGTTCATGTTGGCTACTACGTCTACAATAACGCCATGCAACAAGGCCTGAGTACTGTGGGGTCACTGCTTCTACCCCTCAACGACGCATTAAATATAGTAATCCGGGGGATTTAAAATAGGAGAGCTAGAATTCTACATGTTGTGGGTGAACTGATCGTAAAAATTCACGTTCAACCACTCTTGGGTAACGCCAACTTTATGAGAAGGTGCAAAGTACGACCATATCCTCAGTTCAGCACCTCGTGTATGCGATAGAATTGCTCCTGAAGTTCTCGTTGATCATGATCCTCACAGACGAGATGTACACCACCGTATATAACTGCATGACGTCCGTATTGAGCCGTCTGTCGAACTTCCTGTTCATCTACCAACTTTATTGAGCTCGCCATCTCCAAGTCGCTTTATTTGATGAGTAGTGACACGAGCACGGCGTGTCTTTTAATTTCCGGTGTCAGACAGGAAGCTGTCATGTTACTGCTTTCGGAAGGCTTGAAAGAGAAATGAGAATGTTAAAATAGCGTACATACTGCATAACGTTAGTTATTGTCGCCGAGATGAATGTGAAGCGTAATACAAATTATTTCCCATTCTATGCAGTTGTAACTGAATTTCGACTTTGGGTTTTAAACATTTGTACTCCGCGGTGTATAACCCTGTCAAAAGTAATAATTAATGTCTGAAAAAAATAGGAAACGATTAATTTTTAAAGAAAAATGGTAATTAGACAAACTGAGAAGAAATGGATGTGTTCATTTTCTTTTTATTCTTACTTATTTTTCGGAGGTACAGCGGAGAAATGGATAGCGGCTCAGATTGAAGAATCGGAGAGCCGAGTTCGAATTCCACTGGAATCCATTACATTCACTTACGGGCTAATACCCTTGGGAACGGTATGAATCTCCTTCTTCTCCCCCAGCTAGTAAATAGCAAGACACACTGGGTTCTATAGCCTTGGATAGCAACTGATCTACCGCAGAAAGAATTAGCAAACTACGGCGGGAAAAATCTGCCTCGTCAGTCATGTATCGAAAGATACATGATCGCCTAAGCGTTCATCACGCATGGCACTATTTTTTAAAAAGATGGACTGAGAAGAAATGGATGTGCTCATTTTTTATTCTAATTTGTTTTTCTAATCTGCGCTATGTGATGTCAAAAGTTTTGCAGTTTCATCAAAAAATTAAAATTGACTTTGACAATATGGAAAATATTCCAGAATTTGCTTTTTGATGAAACTTGTTGTCACTTGATTCTTATTAAAAACTCCGAGAAATCGTTGGCACAAAGGTTCATGAAAAATAATTTGAATGATATTAGCAAAAGAGGAAATAGTACATTTTTGTCTGATGTGAATGTTTTTGAATATTGCCAGGAAACTCAAAACACGAAATTCGGACACGAATGAGATATTTGCACTCAGAAAAAAAAATGAACCAATAAAATCTTGATTAATAATTTAAATATATTTTACTTTAAATTCTGAAACCAAAATGATTACAATTTCTAATCCATTTTTTTTTTCTTAACAATTCATACTTTACTCACGCGACAAAAATAATCGATTTTTCATTAAAATTATTGAATTCTAAATTAATATATAATGTTCAAGATAATTAATCCTCATGGTGCAAGATTTGAACTTTTATTAATAAGAAAAGCACTAATATATCTATATTTAACAACGAGCACCGCTTGTAATTGCTGAAAAGACGCTTGTACAGTCCTTATATATATTTAGATTAGGATATCAACTGATTTTTAAAAAATTTCTCTCCATAAATGGAAATAATGTATTTTACACACACACACACACACACTAATATATATATTTGAGCTTGTATTGTATTGAGCTCTTGTATTGTATTGAGCTCTTTTGTTAGTTAGTTGTTACTCGTATCGGGGTTTTTTCTTTGGGCTTCAGACCTGCATCTGTGCGATTTTTTGTCGGCAGAAGTTCATGTTTGTAGCTCTTTCTTTTTTTAAAACCTTTTTTTCCCTCGAGATTGATTTGATTAGCAAATCAAAATTCGAGGGTTTTTCGAAAAGAGTCTAGTTATCTATATTTATTTATATATATATATATA